ATAGAGAGAAGACAGCATGAAAGTAAATGCAGAGGGTTCACTGCAAGATGCAAGTGACAAGCCTCAAGAATAGAAATTATGGATGCTAACAAAACATCTAAAAAAATCCAGCACAATTCTGAAAAAACATTCTTTGGACAGATGAAATCAAGCTCAACCTATACCAGAATAATGGCTAGAAAAAAAAGTATGGAGAAGGAGTGGAACAGTTCATGGTTTAGGTCTAACTCTATAAAACATTAGAGCATGCTGTGTCGTGTGAAATTTTGAAAATGTAGTATTATAAAATATCATAACTAAAAAGGTGTTTTGGTTATTCTTCTGAAAAGTTTGGAACGTTCACAACATATGGCTTATCTGCCTAATATGAAATGTAGAGAATACCATTTTAATGTAACACTATAGTAAGTGTTAGACCTTGTTGAGACTGTATATTTGTCCCTAGTGGGAAATGCTTTCTACCATGAAAATATCTGTTCCCATTGTGAGATTAAAACACGGGCTGACCTGTCTTAGCAGAGTGGTTGTTCTCCTCCTGCTTGAGGATCTGATAACATTCTTCCTCAGCCTTCATGTGCTGAACAACCAGAGCGCAATCTGGGTGGATGGCCTCTGTCTGAAGGCGAGAAAGAAATCTTTCATCACATCCAGTAACACAGAAAGACACACAGAAGTGCAGAAATACCATAATTTTCTTTTACAGGACATGATAATGGCAAATATAATGTTATTAATCAGTAGTTCAGTAGTGGTTGTGTTTTGGACTTTGTTATACTATTGACAATATATTAAAGAAATATCATATGGAATCTGTTGTTGGCCTCTCCCAAAACTATTACTTATTTTTATTAATAAAGGCTTTGATAAGACACATTGTAATGTAATATTCACCACATAAAACAATTCTTTGAGTTATATACAAAAAAAAAAATATTCAGTTTAACTGTTGTAGCCTATAGTAACCAAACTGGAGCTTCAACATCAGGAATATATGAGCACCTTCTTCTGAGATGATAAGGTGATGAAAGTTTGCCATATTTGCATCTGTTGTACCTCTCTTTGTCTGCCCTGTCCTTTTAGAAACAGGAAAGAGCACTATTACCCTAATAACCCCGGTAACAACTAAATTGTCTGTGAATCAATTACCTTATCGTGGTGGTGGAGGGGTTTGTGTGTTCCAGGGATTTGAGGGGCTATGTTTTCAGTCCACTTTTGCCCCCATGGTAGGGTCTCCCATGGACTTTGGACTGCCTCGAAGAGATTCTGGCAAATTGTCAAGCGACTCAGGAGAGGAAAGCAGTGGTCTACCTGCACTGTTCATAGTGTGGGTGAAGCACTGCTGACTTCGACTGAGAACATTGTTGGGGGGTGGAAGGAATACTTCGAGGACCTTCTTAATATGGGTGGGTTTCAATAATTAATTTATCGATTAAAATCGATTTTAGCTTTAACAAAGCAATATTGATTCATTAAAATCCTGAATCGATTTTTAAATATATATTTGTATTTTGCCAGAAACGCTAGAATCTCAGCTTAAACCTCACAAATTATTTCAACAACCACCAAACACAAAATCACACTTCCTGCACAGCTCTCTTCCCCTCTCAGTGTACTTCAAGAACAGTTTCCCATTTAAAAATCTTTGTTTTCTACATTATTCGTTTGCTTTTTACACACCAGTCTACCATTGTGTACAGACAAGAAAGCCTCATTTCTTCTGTTAGGTACCGAAGAAATGTAAACTTTTTAAAATTATGACAAATTGTAAAACTCTTAGCTGTGACTCTAATAAAACCTCTGTAACTTTGCACTGCGTCAATCAGGTAATGTTCATATGATGATTCATGGTTTTCTTCAGTTTTCTTCAGGGTCTTAGAATGAGGGGGGCAACTTGTCTATCTCTGGGGGTGAGGTCACTGAGGCAGTTAAACAACTCCTTGGTGGCAGGGCCCCTGGGGTGGATGAGGTTC